TATAAACACTGATCTCTGGGTCTAAGATCACAGGGATGCTCCAGAATTTCTACAGTAGGCTGGCCGAGGGAGAGTCGGCTATCTGGGTGGAAAGAGGCCTAGGAAACTTACTTGTTTTGAAGCAGCGTTATTGTATTTACCATTCTTTATTTGGAAGCTTTAGGGGGCTGAAACCTCCAGCCCCCCTTCCCCTTGGTGCTGTGACTATCCTGTAAGAGCGTTTATCTCCAGCTCTGTGCCTCTGCATTCTTTCGCCTCTAGGTACTCCATGCACATTTTCATGTTATCATATGAAAAAAAAATATTGAAACATAATATTCACTGAAGTGTATGAAGTTATTGTGAGGGTTGAGAAGTTCGAGACTGTATTAAAAAAGGCTCGTTGACCTTTCCATTGAAGACCTCCAGTAAGTGTTGTGTGAACGATGAATACAGAATCAATGGTAACAATATACACTACCGCCAAGTAGATAAGTAAATCATATGTGCAGTAGTTTGACATCTTTCATCTTCGTTGACCAGACGTTTCTCCTGCTCAGCAGGCTTTTTTCAGTAGAAACACAGAGGCGACAACATAGAAAGACAAATATGGAAATTGCATCACACCTTGCTAACCTTTATTTTTAACACCGATATGTTTTACCCTTTATATTTTCAACATAGATGTGCCTGACTAATGTTCCAGCTGGTGCTTCATAATGGGTTCGACACGCATCATACAGTGTCCTGGGGGACTCCGTCAAACACGCACAAGCTTGAGTCCTTGAATAAGCGGGTTCATATCTCAGTAAGTAGACTCTCCCGTTAACTCATGTTGTCCAGCAGGTTAATATTGGTAATTCACTAAAGAGTTATCTTTCAATAGTTACATTGGTCGTAGTGGTAGTAATGAAGAATGAGATGGTCAGGTCATCCTGCTTGGTGAAATACGACTGGAAACCCATACTACGTGGTGGAGGGTGACAGGAAATAAGCGATATGTGGTGGAATATGACAGGAAACCCATGATATGTGATAGAGTATAACAGGAAACCCATGCTATGTGATGGATGACAGGAAACCCATGCTATGTGATGGAGTATGAGAGGAAACCCATGCTATGTGATGGAGTATGAGAGGAAACCCATGCTATGTGATGGAATGTGACAGGAAATCCATGCTGTGTGGAGTATGAAAGGAAACCCATGCCATGTGATGGAGTATGACAGGAAACCCATGCTATGTGATGGAGTATGACAGGAAACCTATGGTGTGTGATGGAATATGACAGGAAGCCCATGCTATGTGATGGGATGTGACAGGAAATCCATGCAATGTGATGGAGTATGACAGGAAACCCATGCTATGTGATGGAATGTGACAGGAAACCCATGCTATGTGATGAAGTTTGACCGGAAACCCATGCTATGTGATGGAGTATGACAGGAAACCCGTGCTATGTGGAGTATGACAGGAAACCCATGCTATGTGATGGAGTATGACAGGAAACCCATGCTATGTGATGGAATGTGACAGGAAATCCATGCAATGTGATGGAGTATGACAGGAAACCCATGCTATGTGATGGAATATGACAGGAAATCCATGCTATGTGATGGAGTATGACAGGAAACCTATGGTGTGTGATGGAATATGACAGGAAACCCATGCTATGTGATGGAATATGACAGGAAACCCATGCTATGTGATGGAATGTGACAGGAAATCCATGCCATGTGATGGAGTATGACAGGAAACCCATGCTATGTGATGGAATATGACAGGAAACCCATGCTATGTGATGGAGTATGACAGGAAACCTATGGTGTGTGATGGAGTATGACAGGAAACCCATGCTATGTGATGGAGTATGACAGGAAACCTATGGTGTGTGATGGAGTATGACAGGAAACCCATGCTATGTGATGGAATATGACAGGAAACCCATGCTATGTGATGGAATGTGACAGGAAACCCATGCTATGTGATGGAGTATGACAGGAAACCCATGCTATGTGATGGAGTATATAAATTATCCTGTACAGTGAATGTCGTTTAAGTCAACATAGTTAAAAGAGGCTACAGCAAGAACTGTCAAATAAATCATTAAAGTCACATTATATGGTTGTACTTACTAGGCTAACACATTATGAAAGATTGAAGCATAACTACGGGATTTCTGTATGCACAACTAAATGTCATCCCATCTCTGTACATTATTATTTAGTTATACCTTCGTATTCAAGGCATCTGAGGAACACAAAACATTTTATACCAAATCACAGAATTACTAGTATTTCAACCCTAACACTCACAGGTTATTGCGTCTGTTTCAGAACTCACCTGCCATGGGTTTAAGTCCTCACCCGTTTCCCACCAAGGCAGTGCCCCAAAAAATAAACACTTGCATCATTACTCACTCCATCACTGTCTTGCCAGAGGCAAGTCAGTTCCGGATCAGCCGGGCTGTGGCTCGTACGTTGGTTTGCGTGCAGCCAGCAGCAACAGCCTGGTTGATCAGGCTCTGATCCACCAGGAGGCCTGGTCACAGACCGGGCCGCGGGGGCGTTGACCCCCGGAACTCTCTCCAGGTAAACTCCAGGTAAACTCCAGGCGTGCTGACACTACAATCAAAAAAAATATCTACACCCCTCCTTCAGAGTGCAGGCACTGTACTTACTACCTCCAGGACTCAAGTCCGGCTAACCGGTCTCCATGAATACTTTCATAAATGTTACTTTACTCACACTCCAACAGCACTTCAAGTCATAAAAAACATTTGCCTCCACTCCTATCCAAAACCTAACGCACGCCTGTTGGAAGTCTAAGCCCCTCGCACACAAAACCCCCTTTACCCCCTCCCTCCAACTCTTCCTATAACGACCCCTACTCCTCCTTCCATCTACTCCAGATTTATACACCCTCCAAGTCATTCTAAATGTCCGAACCATCTCAACAGTCCCTCCTCAGCCCTCTGGATAATACTTTTAGAAGCTCCGTGAGTCATATAATACTGTCACCCAAGTGAATTTCAAAATTTTAGTTAAATAATTAGTACTGTGGTTCACCCCAATATAAAACCATAAGAAAAAGGCAACGGAAAATATTTTTTCAAGAAAAAGGTCACATAAAATTAGAGAATGAAAACCTCCCACCCACGTTCAGCTCAGACTTAACACAAGTTAACCTAAGTTAATACAAGCTAACCTAAGTTCACAAGCTAACCTGCCAAGCTAACCTAACACAAGCTAACCTGACAAGCTAACCTGACACAAGCTAACCTGACAAGCTAACCTGAAACAAGCTAACCTAACACAAGCTAACTTGACACAAGCTAACCTGACACAAGCTAACCTAACACAAGCTAACCTGACAAGCTAACCTAACACAAGCTAACCTGACACAAGCTAACCTGACAAGCTAACCTGACACAAGCTAACCTGACACAAGCTAACCTGACAAGCTAACCTGACACAAGCTAACCTGACAAGCTAACCTGACAAGCTAACCTGACAAGCTAACCTGACACAAGCTAACCTGACACAAGCTAACCTGACACAAGCTAACCTGACACAAGCTAACCTGCCAAGCTAACCTAACACAAGCTAACCTGACAAGCTAACCTGACACAAGCTAACCTGACAAGCTAACCTGACACAAGCTAACCTAACACAAGCTAACCTGAAACAAGCTAACCTAACACAAGCTAACTTGACACAAGCTAACCTGACACAAGCTAACCTAACACAAGCTAACCTGACAAGCTAACCTGACACAAGCTAACCTGACAAGCTAACCTGACACAAGCTAACCTGACACAAGCTAACCTGACAAGCTAACCTGACACAAGCTAACCTGACACAAGCTAACCTGACAAGCTAACCTGACACAAGCTAACCTGACACAAGCTAACCTGACAAGCTAACCTGACAAGCTAACCTGACAAGCTAACCTGACACAAGCTAACCTGACACAAGCTAACCTGACACAAGCTAACCTGACAAGCTAACCTGACAAGCTAACCTGACACAAGCTAACCTGACACAAGCTAACCTGACACAAGCTAACCGGGTACCACAAGCTAACCTGACACAAGCTAACCTGACACAAGCTAACCTGACACAAGCTAACCTGACACAAGCTAACCTGACACAAGCTAACCTGATACAAGCTAACCTAACACAAGCTAACGTGACACGCTAACCTGACACAAGCTAACCTAACACAAGCTAACGTGACACGCTAACCTGAAACAAAGTAACGTAACACAAGGTAACCTAACACTAGGTAACCTAACACAAAGTAACCTGACACAAGCTAACCTAACACAAGCTAACCTAACACAAGCTAACCCGATCTATTATTTCTTAACCTAATATTAAGATACCTATTTCGGCTTTACCATCATCATTAAAGACAATAACACAGCCTAAGTAAGTTTATTTAGGCATAGGTACACATACCTGGAGTTGTTGAGGGTTCCGGGGGTCAACGCACAATTATCATACATAATGTAAATTAACTAGGATAACCCCAAAAAGTCAGATAAAGTGACTTATTTCCATTAGGGTCCTTGACTTCCAAAGTTAATTTTCTGTTGCCATGGCGGTGGCCAGGAGGCCTAGGTGAGTGTGCACCATGAACAAGGTCACCTTGCCTGGGGGTCCACACTACTACTAACACATCCTGATAGCCTTCACTTTTTCCTCAGAGTACATTATAAAATGATTGCCAGATTGTCTTAATTGGGAACTATAATAGCAAATTTTGTTTTTGTTGTAGTTATCGTGTTCTTGAAGACCGTGGAGTGTGGAAGGATTCCCTGTTTGTGTAGTACTGCAGGATGCAATGATTTATTTTATTAAGTTCTACTACGTGGAAGGAAATAGTAATTTTAGTGTGGCAGTGTGTGTCTACGGTGACGTATGTACACACCCATGATGTGTGAGCTGTGATTGGCTGTCCAGTCTCATGACGTCACACACGCCTAGTGGGTGCTGCTTGTGGTTGGTTGTAAACAATCACCTGGTAGTCACACCACAGCCACTCTTGAGGGGAGATGCACCACGTTTGACGCAAACATGACTGGTGATAAAACGCAGAAAATTTGCGAGACCAAGTGCCTGTGGAGGCCTGATGTGAGAAAGAAAACGAAGATTGACGAATTCCGAGAAGTTGTGAACAAAAAGTACTCTAATTCCTTTGGTAAGTCACAGGTAAATCTGGGTTTGTGCCACATTGTCAGAATTTCACCATGACTTTTTCCTTGGGACGAACATGCGTATATCAAAGTTTGTGTTATGGGCACTCCTGTCTATCTGAATAAACGAAGATACTTAGCATAAAGAACATAAATTCTAACATAATTATCATATTAGTTTGTCATATTTCCTCATCATTTAGGTTGTGGTGTTTAGCATGTATAATGGTGTGATGGAAGTGTCCGCTGCGAAATATATTTGTGCTCACACTAACATACTGTAAACATCATGACTCGCGTAATCATTGCAAATAAGTCACTGGATGACTTTCTTGGGTTATCCTAGGTAATCTACACATATGCTGCTATGTATGATTATTTATGTAACTGTATGTGTCTATACTTGAATAAACTTACATAACACGACTGCAAACAAACCACAGAACGAGTGAGACTCGAACATGTGGTAGACAAGTCCTAAAACTCGCAGGCCAGTGCGCTTAACCATGACATGGACCAGTGGTTTTAGGTCTCTCCTGTCCTAGGTTCCAGCTCCACCTGTTCCATAATTTATTAAACATTACAATAAACGTGCATGTACTTGCATAAAAATAAATCCCAAATTATTATACGAAAATGAGTAAAGGTTAGCAATGCATTAACGCATCGCATATGGTAGCTTCGTTTTACTCAACACTAAAAATTTCAACAGGGCTCTAGTTTTCCCTTATATGTTGGCATTTTGTCCAGGATAAGGCTTCCATCAGATCTAGTTATTTTCGGTATTATTATAATCATGGGGAAGTGCTAAACCCATAGGGTTATACAGCGCCTGTGGAGGGGGATGGAAGGTATTCAGGCTTAATTCAGGGAACTGGAGCACAGATCCAATTCCCTAGATCAAGAACCCCTCACCGGCGTCAATTATTATTATAACCAGAGAAAGCGGTAAACCGACAAGGGTCTCACCAGCGTCAAGGAACCTTCCTCGAGGGGTTTTTCGGTATTCAAAGAGTCCAGGGAATCCCTTCACCTGTTACATCCGGGTGGCTTGTGGAAGGGTTGATCATCCAGCACTGGTATAGCATGGCAATGATAAGTTGCATACTATGGCGGGAGAGCTACAGGACAAAGATAGCATTTTTACGGCTGAATTGTGTGCCATTGTAGCACTTATCCGTATTGCAACTATGCCTGTGTCACCATCTGTGATCGTTTTAGACTCCCTTAGTGTTGTACAGGTTATTAGAAAATTTGATATACCTCATCCCCTGGTTCTTCGTATCCAAGTTTGGTTACGCCGTTTCTCTAGCAAGCACAAAGATAGTTTTTTGTTGGGTCCCTGGTCATGTTGACATACAGGGCAATGAACAGGCAGACACTGCTGCGCGGTCAGCAGTACATGACCTCCCAGTTTCATACAGACTATTTTGCTCTAACTGCTACCCATCTTCGCACCCATTGACAACAACGTTGGTCTGATCTGCTACATAACAAATTACATTCTTTTAAACCAAGTGTTGGTTTCTGGCCGTCTTCTTGTCATCAATGTCGAGGTTGGGAGATTGCTCTCCTGTCTTCGCATCGGCCACACTCGTCTTACTCACGGGTATCTCATGCAGAGGCACCCTGTTCCACTCTTGTGAGAATTGTCAGGTTCCAGTTTCTGTTAGCCATATTCTGTTGGACTGTCCACTCTATCAACGAGCACGCAGAACTGACCTCCAACATCACCCCTCTACTGCCCTTACTTTATCTTCCCTTCTTGCTGATGGATCCTCCTTTAACCCAGACTCTCGACTTTTTGACAGCAACTGATTTACTGCACAAACTCTGAGGATGATGCCTCTAGTACTCCTCACAACCCTTTCTACCTCAATCTCTTGCTACCCTCTACCCCTGCACTATCCACTGCCCCGCTGCACTCCATAACCTAATAATAATCCCTCTCCCTCTTGCTACCCAATACCCCTGCACCCTTCCTTGCCCTGCTGCGCTGTATGACTTGTAGGTTTAGCGCTTCTTTTTTTTTTGATAATACAGGACAGAGTAAGCTTTTATTGTGACGATAAAGCTTTAATAAAACCGAAAGTAAGTTTTAATGATATAGCTTTACAAAAACCCTAACACTGTCACAATAAAAACTTGCTTTGTATACATGTTTTTACATAATTTTGTGGCTGGCATAAGGCGAGGTAGAGCTAGACAAGGCTGTCTACCACGCTCCCGGAAGCAGTCTTGAGGATTATACCTGGTACATTATATAATATATATATATATATATATATATATATATATATATATATAATATATTATATATATATATATATATATATATATATATATATATATATATATATATATATATATATATATATATATATATATATATATATATATATATATATATATTAAACACAAGGACACTCAATAAAAATATTAGAACATCTCTCAAACTCTTCCTGGACAGCTGCAACACTCATAAACATATACGATACAAATAAATACCTCTGATGTCCCTCGTGTACGACTCGAGCAATATCTTAGTAGGTATAAAAAGGTTCCAAAATTTGGAACTCTACCAGAAGATAGCAAAGATTCTCTTTGTACCATCTACTTCAAAGTTGTTAAAATAAAATTAATAAAAAAAAAAACCCACTTCTACCTTGTTATTCATGACAGCAATTTTCTAATGTTCAAACATCTTGCAGTTTGTTGAGTTTCCATTTATTCATCCATTTGTACCTCTTGTTTCTGTTTATTTTTCTAATTCCATATATTGTGACGTGTGTTTCAATCCCCTTCATTCAGACAGCTGTTGCAACGAGAATTTTACATAGAACAGTCAATGTACTCAATTTCTTATAGCTAAGTTTGCTAAAACATTCTTCAGATAACTTATTTCATTATATTATATTGCAAATTCTTAAATTAGTTCTACTCAATATTTTACAACTAGTTACATATTTTTATTAATGATTATTATTAATGATTATTTTTATTAATGATTTTCTATTTTTTAGCTAACATACGTGTAAATTTTACCTTATTCCTAGTAATGACCCTCGTATTGTAGATAGTCTTAATGACCTTGGTGTAGTAGATAGTCTTTTTAGTATGATAATAAGATGTTATCTTCATTGTAGAAATAAGAAAATATTATAACCTTTATATTATAATAATAAGGTAAAAGGACCCCAATGGAAATAAGTCACTCTGACTTTTTTGGGTTATCCTAGGTTCTCTACACATATGCTGCTATGTATGATAATTCTGTGTAACTGTATTTGTGTATACCTGAATAAACTTACTTACTTACTTACTTACTGTAACTTGTATCTTTTTAAACTTCCTGTTAATAACCATGTATAGACTCGTAAAAAAAATATGTATTTTTTAAAAAAATAGACTAAGTTTTGCCAGAAATACTGTGCATCCTATGGTCTTTCTGTTTATTTTATGTTATATATGCAGTCATTTGTAATAAAAATCAGATATTATCTAGCCGAAATCAGGTACAGGTAGTGACATCAAAAGATACTTGTAACCCAGCCTAATCCGGGCAGTAGTGACTGCAAGTCTGCTGCTTTTGTTGGATACGTCGTAGTTATGGTTTCTCCTGCATAATTATTATAATCATATCTAAGCGTTAAACCCACATAGTCATACAGCGTCTCCTGCGTCATAGAATGATAGATGGACTGGCTGGTATCAATTTCCTCCATTTCTGAGTAATTTAAGTTCACTTAAAGCTCTTTTTGTATTACTGTCCTCAAAGTACTAGTTGAAAACCCAAGGTTGTAATTTCCTCCCCACCTGAAGGCATACGCTTTTGCCAAATCATCATTAGTTCTAACATATCTGAAGACCAATGCGAGATGGAATCCACAGGAGTCCACTGGCTACATTATCTACACTCCTATCATGCCTGTCAGGCTTCTCTTATGCATACCACAATTAACACTCATGAATTTAGAAGAATCTAGAATCTTAGACTGTGTTTAGGTGCAGAAGTTGGGAGAGATGTACAGAGGTATGAGAATATCTTAAGGACAAGAATATAACGTAGAAAACTTAAGTGTCCACTGGTGATTAACTATTAATTACCGTAAAGACCTTTATTAGTACATTTCACTTAAGAGTGAAACTTTGTACCAATAAAAGACTTCATGGGAATTAGTTTATCACCATTGTGGGAGTTGTACTAGTATACTTTTTTTTTCTGTATAGGTGTGGGAGTGAGTTGCATGGGTGTAGGAGCGTCTTCTATGTAAGAGTCACATGGATACAGTGCACAAGTAACTTGCACATAGGAGGAACTTACCACGACGTTTCGGTCCGACTTGGACCATTTACAGTCACTAGTCGTATGGGTGTGGGTGCGAGTGTGGGAGTAAGTTGCACTTACTTGTTGGCAGGAAGTGTATGGAGTAAGTTGCACTTGTTGGCAGGAAGTGTGTGGGAGTGAGTTGCACTTGTTGGCAGGAAGTGTATGGAGTAAGTTGCACTTGTTGGCAGGAAGTGTATGGGAGTGAGTGCACTTACTTGTTGGCAGGAAGTGTATGGGAGTTGCACTTGTTAGCAGGAAGTGTATGGGAGTGAGTTGCACTTGTTGGCAGGAAGTGTATGGGAGCAAGTTGCACTTGTTGGCAGGAAGTGTATGGAGTAAGTTGCACTTACTTGTTGGCAGGAAGTGTATGGGAGTTGCACTTGTTAGCAGGAAGTGTATGGGAGTGAGTTGCACTTACTTGTTGGCAGGAAGTGTATGGAGTAAGTTGCACTTACTTGTTGGCAGGAAGTGTATGAGAGTTGCACTTGTTAGCAGGAAGTGTATGGGAGCAAGTTGCACTTGTTGGCAGGAAGTGTATGGAGTAAGTTGCACTTGTTGGCAGGAAGTGTATGGGAGATTGCACTTGTTAGCAGGAAGTGTATGGGAGTGAGTTGCACTTACTTGTTGGCAGGAAGTGTATGGAGTAAGTTGCACTTACTTGTTGGCAGGAAGTGTATGAGAGTTGCACTTGTTAGCAGGAAGTGTATGGGAGTGAGTTGCACTTACTTGTTGGCAGGAGGTGTATGGGAGTGAGTTGCACTTACTTGTTGGCAGGAAGTGTATGGGAGTGAGTTGCACTTACTTGTTGGCAGGAAGTGTATGGGAGTGAGTTGCACTTACTTGTTGGCAGGAAGTGTATGGGAGTGAGTTGCATTTAAATGTTGGCAGGAAGTGTATGGGAGTGAGTTGCACTTACTTGTTGGCAGGAAGTGTATGGGAGTGAGTTGCATTTAAATGTTGGCAGGAAGTGTATGGGAGTGAGTTGCACTTACTTGTTAGCAGGAAGTGTATGGGAAGGAGTTGCACTTACTTGTTGGCAGGAAGTGTATGGGAAGGAGTTGCACTACTTGTTGGCAGGAAGTGTATGGGAGTGAGTTGCACTTACTTGTTAGCAGGAAGTGTATGGGAAGGAGTTGCACTTACTTGTTAGCAGGAAATGTATGGGAATGAGTTGCACTTACTTGTTGGCAGGAAGTGTATGGGAGTGAGTTGCACTTACTTGTTAGCAGGAAATGTATGGGAATGAGTTGCACTTACTTGATAGCAGGAAGTGCTTGACCATCCATATTGGGATGACTTTGTAGGGGTACCTCATTGACCCAGCAGTCCATAACTATATCTGAAAGCAGGAAAAAACTTGAAGCCGGTCATAGTATAAGCCTTTTTAACTGTTTAGTAAAATATGAGAGATACTTAAAGTAGAAAAATGGATAAAAGATATAATTTATATTTTTCAGGTAATTACCAAGAGTTGTACAAGTGGTCTGTGGAGCAGTATTCAGACTTCTGGGAAACATGGTGGGAATTTGGAGGTTTTATATACTCATCACCTCCTACACAAATTGTGGATTCTTCTCTTAACATCACACAAGTACCACGCTGGTTTACTGGTGCCAAACTTAATTTTGCTGAAAATCTTCTCCGCTTTCGTGATGATCATATTGCAATATATGCAACGGGTAAGTATTGAAATTACATTAAACTTTTCCTCATAATTTCTTCAGTTATTAATCGGATTGTCAAAAGAATAAGACCCATGTCATGGCTGCCATACCTGGAGGGTGTTCTTGGGGTCTATGCCCCCATGGCCCAATCCATGACCAGGCCTTATGGTGGCTCAGTGCCTGATCAACCAGGCTGTTACTGCTGGCCACACAGTCCAGTGTATGAGCCACAGCCCGGCTGATCAGGCACTGACTTGTTATAATAATTCTTCAGTTATAATTTTAGCAATTAAATTTTTTACACTGCTGAATACCTGGAGTTTACCTGGAGAGAGTTCCGGGGGTCAACGCCCCCGCGGCCCGGTCTGTGACCAGGCCTCCTGGTGGATCAGAGCCTGATCAACCAGGCTGTTGCTGCTGGCTGCACGCAAACTAACGTACGAGCCACAGCCCGGCTGATCAGGAACTGACTTTAGGTGCTTGTCCAGTGCCAGCTTGAAGACTGCCAGGGGTCTGTTGGTAATCCCCCTTATGTGTGCTGGGAGGCAGTTGAACAGTCTCGGGCCCCTGACACTTATTGTATGGTCTCTTAATGTGCTAGTGACACCCCTGCTTTTCATTGGGGGGATGGTGCATCGTCTGCCAAGTCTTTTGCTTTCGTAGTGAGTGATTTTCGTGTGCAAGTTCGGTACTAGTCCCTCTAGGATTTTCCAGGTGTATATAATCATGTATCTCTCCCTCCTGCGTTCCAGGGAATACAGGTTTAGGAACCTCAAGCACTCCCAGTAATTGAGGTGTTTTATCTCCGTTATGCGCGCCGTGAAAGTTCTCTGTACATTTTCTAGGTCGGCAATTTCACCTGCCTTGAAAGGTGCTGTTAGTGTGCAGCAATATTCCAGCCTAGATAGAACAAGTGACCTGAAGAGTGTCATCATGGGCTTGGCCTCCCTAGTTTTGAAGGTTCTCATTATCCATCCTGTCATTTTTCTAGCAGATGCGATTGATACAATGTTATGGTCCTTGAAGGTGAGATCCTCCGACATGATCACTCCCAGGTCTTTGACGTTGGTGTTTCGCTCTATTTTGTGGCCAGAATTTGTTTTGTACTCTGATGAAGATTTAATTTCCTCATGTTTACCATATCTTAGTTTGTAATGATAAATTACTGTGGAGGGAACATGAAGTACTTTTGTTAGTACTGAATCTGTATTATTGTTAAAAGTTTACTTGTAGTATTTTAATTATGTCAAGGCTCATTATAACAGAAGGGTAAATTTTGAGACCTAAGCTTGACCTTCTTCACATATCATTTTAGATAACACCCTCCAGGCCTACCTACATGTCTTTACAGAAGAAAAAGACAATAATACCATATCACTGCTCATCTATATTAACTAGTGCAGCCTTATCTGCACACATGCCATATTTTAACTTGGTTATGGTATGCATATTGCATTTGAGTCATATAAATAAGATTTTTACTTTTAAATTAAATTTACCTGCCACTTTTTTAATTAAGTACATCAAGTTCATAATAGCAAGACTGTTACAGGCATAGTGTGACTACATTAAACAATATTACAGGAGAAGGACAGCAAGGCATAACTGCAGTCACATATGAACAGCTGTATAAACACGTTGGTGCTTATTCAAGAGCACTTAAGAGCCATGGTGTGAAGACTGGTGATCGTGTAGTGGGTTATGTACCCAACTGCTCAGCTTCAATACAGGCCATGCTAGGTACAGCATCCTTAGGAGCTGTGTGGAGCTCAACATCCCCTGACTTCGGTATTACGGTAATTCATAGCGATTCTTTTACAATAACTCTAAAAACCAATATTAGAAAAAGTACACTACTGTATCAACTTAGAATTAGTACATCAATGTTCCACATTACATGGCCTCTTTCAACTGAAATGAAGCTGAATAAGACAAGATATTACAAGTAACATAAGTCACTTCGTCTGACTCTCTTTTTTGGTTTATCCTTGGTAATTTATTTATAGAATTAGACACATGCAACATCTGGGTATCTTTATTTGTAACATTTGGTAGGTGCTGCACATCTTAATTCTTCATCTTGTCAGTATTGTATATCATTCATGTACAGTTTACACATATGTTACTATATATGATAATTGTAGTCACCTATATTTGTGTAACTTACTTATGTATACCTGTACCTAAATAAACTTACTTCAATTTATGGTATTTATTTGGAAGATGTTTCGTCCACCAGGGACTATCAATCCATACAGATACAAAGCAATAGAACACATGTATGCAATAATGTATATATATATTATATGCTTCATTTCGTTATATCTGTATGGATTAATAATCCCTGGTGGGCAAAATGTCTTGTAAATAAATACCATAAACTACATACTGTGTCTTATTACATATTTGTTGGTATATCAAAAAATAATTTTTTTTCCCAGAAAAGTGGCATGGGTTTGAAGGTTAACCCGTAAACGGTCCAAGCAGATCTATGTTCACGTGTAGTGCTACAAAAGTAGATCTACGTTTTTTTTACATATTTTCAAATATAACAAAAAAAAAGTAGATCAAAGTTTTTTTACACATTTTCAAATGTAAAAAAACAAAAAGATCTGCTTTTTTTACATACTTTCAAATGTTGAAAAAACGTATACTATATACGTTTGGACCGTTTACGGGTTAATAAGTTACTAATTATGAGGAGGATTTCAGGCATACTAAGATTATTCCTTACAGCTAGGATTTAAAACAACCTTACAATGCATCAAGCTTGAATGCTAAGTTTAATACAACTTGTTTCCCCCTCGAGGGAAGGTTCCTTGATGCTGGTGAAGGGCTCATGATCCAAATAATTGACTGTGCTCCCAGGCCTTGTATTGTACTTGAATGCCTCCCATTCTCCCAGGCATTGTATGACTTCAACAGGTTTAGTGCTTCAAAACAAATGTAATAATAATATATATTAATGTGAAAAGATAATTATCAAAACCAAGAACTAAACCCACAAAAGTATGTGAAGAGATAATAATCAAAACTGAACTGTCAGTTTTGGTTAATTGCATTAAGGGAGCTTGTCTTTCTTAAAAATGATTTGCTATTAATTATTATAAAAACTATTACAGGACTGTAGTTTACATAATTCACATTGCAATGTTATATAATGATTATGTACTATGTAAACATTACAGGTTTGGTTTTCTGTATTTTATTTTACTACAGTAACAATTTAATTTTGCATTATAATGTGTTTGTGTGTTATAGAACCATCTTTAAAATACTATCCTGTAATCTTAATTCACAGTTAACCCCTAAACGGTCCAGACGTATATATACGTTTTTACCGCTAGTGTCCCAAACATATATATACGTTTTATGTGTCCTACATTTAACATTGCCACGATAAGCCTGAGTCGCCTAGACATGTGAGAATGGGTGTGAGCACTCACTGTGCACCATATTAAAATAATTGGGGATGCCTGGGTACCATATGCTCTTTTTTCCTATTAAAAACAACAATGTTTTTTTTTTCTCAAAAAAGTTGGGGCAGTACGGTAGTGAACATATATATACGTTTGGACCGTTTACGGGTTAATTATTAAATATTAAGGTGTTGAATTTTCTTATTTTATTCCTTCAGGGAGTCTTGGAGCGGTTTACTCAAATCGAGCCAACTATTTTGTTTACTGTTGAAGCTGTAGTTTATAATGATAAAGTTCATGACCATCTAGGCAAGGTCAAGAAAGTGGTTACTGGTTTGAAACACTTGAAAAAAGTTGTCATTATTCCATTTGTCCACAAAAGGAATGAAATTGACATTTCTGACATTCCTAATGGGTAAGTGTCTTTAGTCTTTTAAAAGTATACACCTTGTTCATTAATAGTGTAAAAATTAAGAGTTACTACAAGTTTTATTACTTGAATTACCATTGTACTGAACCTAAAACAAATATGGAGACAAAAAATTTAACACTCAGCACTTATTATAGTCCATAGAATAATTGTTGTATTTAATTCTCCTAGCTCATCATAACATCATTAAATTTTCAGCACATCTCTGAGAAGACAGTGATAGAATGAATGATGGTGAAAGTGTTTCTTCTTTTTTGGGTCACCCTACCTCAGTGGGAGACAGCCAGCGTGTTAAAAAAAAATCTACACTATCACTAGGTTAATGAATGTTTTGTCTTGAGTCTACTTAATGCATTGTATAAGTATTGGCATTTCCATATATTATAATGTGATACCAACATACGTCATAGAAGATAAAATTTCGCTGAAAGTAAAATTTCACATAATCGGGTTCAACTCCAGTTATATTCACTAATTCTTGAGGGCTTTGATTACATAAAAATTTCATGTACGTACTGTGTTCATTCTTCATGCCATAAGAGATTGAAAAGTTGTGAAAGTGCTGGAGTTCTTTTCCTGTTTGTTCCTCCCTAATCAGTTGGCTATGTACAGGAGGGCTCCACTTATACAGCAGGTTAGGTTCTTGGCTGCCACTGCAAAGTGAATCATAGCCTTTTTCCACTTTCAAATGCATATAAAATCCTGATAACATGTTTACACAACCATGTATTAAGTGAGCAATAGAACTAGGCCTAAAAAATGCATTTACAGTACACACATTACTTACCTTGAAATATTTTCATCCTTATAGTGAGTGGTGAATAAACCTGCTATATTAGCGAAACACTAAAGCAGGGCCTTCCTGTACAGAGGTTTGTAGGAACAGGTTATACCACCATATATCCTGTAAACAATGTCCATGTATCCCTAGTTGAGGGTTAATGATAGCTCATCTTGCTCTAACCTCAGCACATTTCTTATAGATTTGCTATTTTTAGGCAGTACCAGTATTCTTGCATGATCTTCCTTGTCATCCTCAGTAACCTTAATTGGCAAGTGCTTTCTTTCTAATTTTGTTCTTGTGTTAAGCACATTTATTTTTCTGCTTGCAATTAAATTATCCAGCCATTAACCCCTTGACTGTCGCAACCCCCAATCCTGAGGTGTCTCCTGGTGTCTCAAAATTTAAAAAAAAAAAAAAATTCTTATGAAATGATAGAGAATCTTTTTCCCGATTGTAATGACACCAAAAAAAAAATGAAATTTGATGGAAAACTGACGGAATTATGATCTTACGAAGTTAGCGACCTCGGCGATATTTACAAATCGGCGCTTTCGCCCACTTTGAGCCCTATTTTCGGCTAATTCTATTGTCCCACTCGACCAAATTCATAAATATTTCTTTAGAACTCCGTTTTTTCTATCGATTGAGTACAAGAAACTGCCCATTTACCAATTTCAACTACCCAATAACGTGGTCAGAAATTTGCAATTTCGCCAATTTCATAAAAATTAAAAAATATGATAATTTCAAAATAAGGTCCAGAATGAACAATGCAGACATTCCTGGCTCTAAAATAACATTTTCTTTGTTCATCAGTCACGTCTCCAGGCCCCTCTGATATAACTCTTGCTTTCTATTTTGAATTTTTATTCAAACAAAAAGTAGAAGATTTACTGTTATGCAGACTACTGCAATACTGTAATAATTGTATAAATAACATCAACCCATTCATGACTGCATATTAGAATGGCTAGTTGGACATTTATTGGACAATGACATCATTTGTTTACTTTTGAACATCGGCAAAAATCAAACATTTCCCCTACTTTGAGCTCCATTTCCAGGTTCTTTTTTATAGTAAAATCAAACAAAATCACCTCTATTTCTATAAAATGTTTTCCATTCTATTAAATGAGACCAAGAAAACGAGAATACAACCATAAATACTATACAAAAACAGACCACAAAATCGGCATTTTAATTAAAAAAACAACGGTCGGAGTTTTTTTTTTCTCATTATGCACTGCGTGCTCCAGGACTTTTTTTTATATGGTGCGCACTGACCACACAGACCCATTCTCTCACATGTGGGCCTACCAGCTTTCTCCTGCTTGATTTGAAGCTGCTAGAATTTATGAGTGTATATATACGTCAAACATGGTACCTCATGAGACGTATATATACGACTGAAACAGTTAAAGGGTTAAAATACATACTGTCTATAAAAAAACAGAATATCACTCTTGAATTTCATATGTAATTTTTTTCAAAAATGTTTCACTTTTAACTAAATTAGCAGTTTCTTAGTGTTAACATGCAAGAATGTAATGGTGCAAAGATAGAATAAATATGCTCGATAGTTCTGTACCAGGAACATTTTCTGTGTTCAGATATACAGCACTTTCATTTTTGTTTTTGTGCACATTTTATTGCAAAGCTTTGAATACGGCATTCAGTATATTACACTATATTACATTCTTGTTAAATGTTCATAAGTGATCTTTGTTCTTTTATCCACAGTATGTTCCTAGAAGACTTTCTAGCTGAATGGGAGAGCGATGAAGAGGTGGAATTTGAACAGGTTCCTTTTCATCACCCTTTATTTATTATGTTTTCCTCTGGAACCACTGGTATTCCCAAGTGCATGGTCCACTCTGTTGGTGTAAGTTGATCCTCAGAAGTTAGCAAACTACTATAGTGATATTGTTGATGTTGGCAAAAGTGTTCCTTTTTTGGGTCACCCTGTCAGCTGTCTTTTATTCAGTATTCTCCCTGCTCTTGTTCCATGCTTCCTTCAACTCTTATTTCTTATTAGAAACCCAGTTTTTTTTTTTTATCAGTTCGGTTACCTAGCTTCATCCTTAATATATATTTAATTAGATTTGATTAAATTACTGAATACCTTCATTACTATTATTATTATAATCAAAGCTATCTGCTAAACCCTGAATACCTTTAATATAATATAAACTAAGTATTCTTATTCTCAAATACTAGAGTCATTGTATGGTAATTATTAGTTAGCTTTAAGCTTTTGGTGGCTTGGTGGCTAAAGCTCTCGTTTAACATGGCGAGGGTCTGGGTTCGATTCCCAGCGAGGGTGGAAACATTGGGCACGTTTCTTTACACCGGTTGTCTATGTTCCCCATCAGTAAAATAGGCACCTGGGTGTTAGTTGACTGGTGTGGGTCGCATCCTGGAACAAAACTGACCTAATTTATCTGAAATGCTCTGCATAACAAGGGGCTTTCTGTATAGTAGTACAGTATGTCATTGATGTCAGCTAGGCCTGTATACCTTTTTTTTTTTTTTTTTTTTTTTTTTTTTTTTTCAACAAGTCGGCCGTCTCCCACCGAGGCAGGGTGACCCAAAAAAGAAAGAAAATCCCCAAAAAGAAAATACTTTCATCATCATTCAACACTTTCACCACACTCACACATTATCACTGCTTTTGCAGAGGTGCTCAGAATACAACAGTTTAGAAGCATATACGTATAAAGATACACAACATATCCCTCCAAACTGCCAATATCCCAAACCCCTCGTTTAAAGTGCAGGCATTGTACTTCCCATTTCCAGGACTCAAGTCCGAATATATGAAAATAACCGGTTTCCCTGAATCCCTTCACTAAATATTACCCTGCTCACACTCCAACAGATCGTCAGGTCCCAAGTATCATTCGTCTCCATTCACTCCTATCTAACACGCTCATGCACGCTTGCTGGAAGTCCAAGCCCCTTGCCCACAAAACCTCCTTTACCCCCTCTTTCCAACCCTTTCGAGGACGACCCCTACTCCTCCTTCCTTCCCCTATCGATTTATATGCTTTCCATGTCATTCTACTTTGATCCATTCTCTCTAAATGACCAAACCACCTCAACAACCCCTCTTCTGCCCTCTGACTAATGCTTTTATTAACTCCACACCTTCTCCTAATTTCCACACTCCGAATTTTCTGCATAATATTTACACCACACATTGCCCTTAGACAGGACATCTCCACTGCCTCCAACCGTCTCCTCGCTGCTGCATTTACCACCCAAGCTTCACATCCATATAAGAGTGTTGGTACTACTATACTTTCAAACATTCCCTTCTTTGCCTCCACAGATAACGTTTTTTGACTCCACATATACCTCAACGCACCACTCACCTTTTTTCCCTCATCAATTCTATGATTAACCTCATCCTTCATAAATCCATCCGCCGACACGTCAACTCCCAAGTATCTGAAAACATTCACTTCTTCCATACTCCTCCTCCCCAATTTGATATCCAATTTTTCTTTATCTAAATCATTTGATACCCTCATCACCTTACTCTTTTCTATGTTCACTTTCAACTTTCTACCTTTACACACATTCTCAAACTCATCCACTAGCCTTTGTAATTTTTCTTTAGAATCTCCCATAAGCACAGTATCATCAGCAAAAAGTAACTGTGTCAATTCCCATTATTATTATTATTAAGGCTGCCAGAAATGCTTGGCATAACAAGGGGCTTTCAGTAGAGTAGTTTATAAAAGTCAGTTATCATAACTGCATTCTTTACAGTACTCCACTTTACAGAAATAGTTTATTTGTTTATTGATGTTTAATTACAGACAAGCATGAATATTCCTAAACAATTATTTTAGTTCAACTTAAATTATTGTAAGTTAATTCATTATGATTTCTTAATTATTAATCAGTTTAGTTATAGCTATAAAAAATTATTACATAGATTTTGATAAAGCCTTTTGCTTGACTTTTTTCAGGGTACCCTCATTCAGATAGCAAAAGAGCATGTGTTGCATTGTGATCTCTCTCGGGACGATGTCTTTACTTACTACACCACGGCAAGTATACATGTACATACAGTAGTCGACTGCATTTCACTATTTACTTTAATTTTGGCTTAAAAAATAAATACAAATTTTAAGAACTGAAGAGTTAAGGTTCAAGAAGTATTCAACTTTGCATTACTGATAGTTTATTTACTAGATCAGAGATGAGTGAAATGCTGCTCAGTGTGTAATTTAGTATTTCTCATGTGTAAATTAGATTTTTTCGTCTTTTTTTTTATAATACTTTCCTGTCTAGCAAATCAGCTGTCACTAGTGAAGTTCTTAATAGAGGAATGGCTTGCACAGTATTTTTGCTCCTTTTAATAGTATTTATCATGATATTGTATTGGGTTATAATGCATTTGTTGTGTAATGTTAAAAGGTTTTATTACTTCCTTATGCTTTATGTGATCACTCTGCTTGACTTGTTGCTGTTGGAATTGTTTGTTTTATGGTCTTTAGACTGTCTTAGTATTCAAGAGGGTTTAATTTTGGGATGATTATCTATATCATGTATTAAATTAAGACTGTAATGACCTTCTGAAGGTTCAGTCCTCATGACAAGTCGAGCAACCAGGTGGAAGAACACAAGGGTATGTACGGCTGGATGATCAATTTACTAAGATGTATTCATAAGTTCATTCAAGGATTCCTTGTACAGTGGACCCCCGCTTAACGATCACCTCCAAATGCGACCAATTATGTAAGTGTATTTATGTAAGTGCGTTTGTACGTGCATGTTTGGGGGTCTGAAATGGACTAATCTACTTCACAATATTCCTTATGGGAAAAAATTCAGTCAGTACTGGCACCTGAACATACTACTGGAATGAAAAAAGTTCGTTAACCAGGGGTCCACTGTATTTGCTTAGCAGTGCTTGTGTTATGCTGTACTCAAAATGGGATGTCTAACACTGATACATTTTAAAGATAATTTTCATGGGAAACTGTTTTCATTTTACACATTTCTGCAGTTTTTACTGTGTAAGTAATTGCAGTCTTATAATTTAACCCTTTGGGGGTTGACAGGTCCTCTCAGAGACTTGTTCTCAGGGTCGGCCAAATTTCAAAAAAAAAAAAAAAAAAAAAAAAAAAAAAATTCTTATGAAAAGATAGAGAATCTTTTCCCAACTCCAGGTAAATCATAATGACACCAAAAGTATGAAATTTGATGGAAGACTTACGGAAATATGCTCTCGTGAAGTTAGCGGTCTCAGCTATGTTTACGCATCGGTGATTTTGCCCACTTTGAGCCCTAATTTCGGCCAATTCCAGTGTGCTAGTTGACAAAAATCATAACTATTTCACTAGAACTCCATTTTTTCTATCGAATGAGTACAAGAAACCAACCATTTACCGATTTCAACTATCCAATACATGTACAGTGGTCAGAATTTAGCAATTTTGCCAATTTCACATAAATTTCAAAAGATGCCAATTTCCAAATAGAGTCCAGAATAAACAAGAAAGACATTCCTGGCACTAAAATAACATTTCCTCTGTTCATTAGTCACGTTCCCATGCCCCTCTTATATTCTTTTGCTTTCCACTTTGAATTTTTATTCACAAAAAAAAAAAATTAGAAGATTTACTGTTATGCAGATTACTGCATTAGTGTAGAAATGGTATAAATAATATCAGCGCACTTGTGAAAGAATATTAGACTCACCAGTTGACGTGTATTGGACGCTTGGTATGATTTGTTTACTTTTGATCTTTGGTAAAAATCGAACATTTCTGCTATTTTGAGCTCAATTTCAAGGTACTTTTCATTGTAAAATCAATCAAAATCATCTCAATTTCTGTAATATGTCTTCCATTCTATAAAATGAGACCAGGAAAACTAGAATACAACAATAAATACCATACAAAAATACAGTGCAAAGTCGCTGTTTTAATCCAAAAACATGGTCAAAGTTTTTTTTTTCTCATTACGCACTGTGTGCTGCAGGATTTTTTTTTATACTGCGCACACTGACCACATAGACCCATTCTTTCATATGTAGGCCTACCAGCTTTCTCTCACTAGATTTGACAGCGCTAGAATTTATGCTACTAGTACGTCAAAAACCCCTACGCGTAAGCCGTACTAGTACGTACGTCCAAAACCCCCAAAGGGTTAAAAATACATTCTGTGGATAACCAAAGTGAAATGAACACTTGTCAATGCTAAGTAATAAACATTAAAGTGCTTTACTGTAAAAAATAATGTTGCCAAATTTTTTAGACTGGTTGGATGATGTGGAACTGGCTAGTAGTGGGCTTGTTTTCTGGCTGTTCACTGTTTCTGTATGATGGCTCTCCTCTTCTGCCCACTCCCAATGTGCTCTGGGATCTGGTTGACAAGTTAGGTAAGCTGCACAAAATTGGAGTTATTTTTATTGGAATTATAAAAATCTGAAGAAAAAGTCAGTGCTTGACTCACACATAGTACAGGGGGGAGGGGGCCCCCCCCTCACTTATACAGCAGGTTAGGTTCTGGGCTGCTGCTATAAAGCAAAAATCAGTAAAGTGAAACATAACTGTTTCTCACTTTCAAATGAATATAAAAGCCTGATAACATGTTTACAATGTCATATATTAAGTGAGCAATAGAGCTAGGCCTAAAAAATGCATATGCTTATAGCGAGTGATGAATATATTTACTGTAGGAAGTCTGAATAAATGAAAAATTGGTATAATTGAAAACTGCTGCATTAGAGAAACACTGTAAAGTGAAGTGCTGTAAAGTGAGGCCAACCTGTACTTGCAACTCTGATTTGCCTACATTTATTTATTTTTTGCTAATTTGCTTGTTTACATTGCATTTACATTTCATAAGGAATTTTTTAGCACTATCAATTGCCAAAATGTCCTGTTATCCTTCATTTCCCATGTTCAAACTATAATGTGATGTCTGTGCACTTTTGGCAAGAAAACTTTTGAATGAATGATGGTAGATGTTTTCTTTTTAGGGTTGCCCTACCTTGGTGGGAGGCAGCCAGGGTTAAAAAAAAAAATTGTTACAATATTGGAAAAAAACATTAATTATATTGCCTGTCATATTTCTTTCTAACACTTTATTCTGATCTTTTGCTGATTTCTTGTCCTTTGGTTATTGTTTGCTTAAAGTAGCCATTCCTACTAGCATCATTGAAAGCATTTTCAGAGAATATTTTAGGTATGCTAGTTGTTTATAATTATTTTTATTTCATGTTTCAGGAGTCACAGTGCTGGGTACAGGTGCTAAATGGTTGGCCGTACTGGAAGAAAAAGGGATTATACCTCGTGAAACGCACGACTTGTCATCATTGCGAGCCATACTCTCCACTGGCTCTCCTCTGGCTCCACATTCCTTCCATTATGTTTACAATAATATTAAAGAGGATGTCATGTTGGGAAGCATTACTGGTGAGTATAATACAGTACACTGTACTAGAATAGTAGATGGAGGTAAAAAGATCTGTTTTCATTACATCGCCCTTTCTTCAAAGGAAAACGGGGGTACGTTGATTTACTCAGGAAGGGCTCTTGATCTAAGGAATTGAAGCTAATTAATCCTTTTTTTCATTTAAACATGTTTCCCATTTCCTAGGAATTATGTAACCCATACAGAATATATTTCTCCACTAACATAATAATTTAAATGATTTTTTTTTTTTTTCAACAAGTCGGCCGTCTCCCACCGAGGCAGGGTGACCCAAAAAAAAGAAAATCCCCAAAAAGAAAATACTTTCATCATCATTCAACACTTTCACCACACTCGCACATTATCACTGTTTTTGCAGAGGTGCTCAGAATACAACAGTTTAGAAGCATATACATATAAAGATACACAACATATCCCTCCAAAACTAGAAATTGGTAGCTTAAGGAATTTTGTCTTACATTCAGTATCTGTTTTAGCTTCCATTCATCTATTTATTGTATCTTTATTTTTCAGGGGGCACAGATATTATATCTTGTTTCATGGGCAGCAACCCCAACCTGCCTGTCTTTGAAGGAGAGATACAAGGAAGGAATTTGGGCATGGCTGTGGAGGCTTTCAGAGATGGGCAGCCTGTATACAACATACGAGGAGAGCTAGTGTGCACCAAACCATTTCCTTCTATGCCAACACATTTCTGGAATGACGATGGTGGCATAAAATATACAAAAGCTTATTTTGCAAAGTAAGAAGATCAGTTAATCACTTTTTCATCTTTATGAAAAGCACTTAACTAAATTTTACATACAAATTTACCAAGATATTTTTTGATTCGAGGATATCTTGTCGGGAAAATTTAATTCCTGAACATTCATATACATACATCAACTTTTTGAAATTTTAAGGCTTAAAGCATATTCCTATAAAATTATTTTAATATTATGTTTAAGTTTTTAACATTTATGTTTTAAGGTATCCCAACACTTGGACCCATGGAGATTATATCATTATCAACTCAAAAACTGGAGGGATAACCATGTTGGGACGAAGTGATGGTACTCTTAATCCAAATGGTGTCAGGTTTGGCAGTGCAGAGATATATAATATTGGTAAGAGAAAATATGGAAAGAGATTGATATAAGGATGATAAAGAATATATAAGAGGCACAAACTGTGGATAAGATTTGTGTTTTACCTTTTGAGAGTTTTCTTGAGCATATTATGATAAAATGTATTGACTTGCATTTATTGAATGTTTCAAAGCCACTTTGAATGAAAGGCTGAATCTTCTGTTTATCAGTTGAGCAGTTTGAAGAAGTCAGTGACAGTGTATGTGTGGGCCAGAGGAATGCTGCTGGTGAAGAAAGAGTAGTGTTGTTCTTGAAGCTTCATCCATGTATGGAATTCACCCAAGAGTTTGTACGCCGAATTGTATTGGCCATACGCTCTGAACTCTCAGCCAGACATGTTCCCGCTCTTATTCTTCCTATCACTGAAATTCCAGTAAGCAGTTCTCTTTTTAGCAATGTAACAATTGGTGTAAGATAAGATTATTTAAGGGAAAATTAATAGAAAGCAGAAAGCTATAGTGTCTAAGAATTACTACTTTTACCCTCAGTGACAAATATAAGAGAGTATATCTGAATAGAGTGAATTATCAGACAAGGGTCTTTTTCTAGTGTGTATTTTTGTTCCCACTTTCAATTAGTTTTTTGATGTAAAGATTAATAATTCCTATAAAGTTTGAGTACATAAATTAATAATATAAACAAGTGTTAAATCTGAAAGGGTCATTTATGGGTACAAATTATTATTATTATTATCAAAAAGAAGCACTAATATGGGTACAAAGTAATTTGACATGTAATATAAGATTAAAATTGTTTTATGCTCATCTGTTACATAGTAAAAGTTTTCAAAATAGTCATCACAATTAATATAGTTCTCTAATTTGTCCTGAAATACTTTGTATATATGGTAGAGAAATAATCTTTAAATTTTTTTTATTAAGACTAATTTTTAAATGGTAAATTTTTAGTACACAGTGAGTGGCAAAAAGGTGGAAGTAGCAGTGAGACAAATGATTCAAGGAGAGTGTGTAAAGAACAGGGCTGCCCTCTCCAATCCTGACTCGCTTGACCTTTATGCCAACATCCCACAACTACAGGCTTGGTGAAGTTCTTCTCACTGCTAGTACCTCAAACTAAAACTTGCATCCAGCTACTGTGTGAAACGGATGGTGAAGTGTGCCTCAGCTGCTGTGTTGAAGGGCTTGAGGTAAGTCCCCTAACTGCTTCAGCTAAAATATTTCCAGTGTTTCACCAGTTCCTCCAATGACTTGTTGCCTTTTTACAGAGGGACTGTGGAAGTTATTGCTGTGTGATAGTGTAGCTTGGATAAATTATCCTCAAATATTTTATTAGTTGCAGCTGCAGTATGTCAGTGACAGTACTTTAGTGGCTTAAATTCTTGAATACTTGGCAGCGAGACTTTTTGATAGGTATTTAAGCAAAATAAAGTTTATTTCATTTAACAAAGTTGTTAAATTTGATGTACTATAGTATTTAAAAAAAAAAAATTAGTTCAAAATACAGTGCCATTAAAGGTTGTAAGACACCTTTGTAATTTTTAATAGAATTTGTTCTGTAAGTTATATAACCATTTTGGTATATATTTTATACTTTAATATTTATGACAAATACCATTGATATTGGTTACTTTAGTAGAGTATCATTTTAATCAGCATAACCTAAAATACAGCTACTGTATTTGTATCGATCATTTTGACCAGTTTCCATGAAAGTTTTCCTCAACATTCTTAGCCATCCTGTAATATAATTGCTTATCCCTCTACTGCAGCTACAGGATATGCTACTGAAAGTAGCTTATTCATTGTTCAGAAAATTTGTAAATAGGATTGACTGTTATTGTACTAAAAACCTTTGTTTTCAAATTGTCATAGTTATGTGCTACAGCTTATCAATCTCTAGGAACTGCAGTATTGATGCATTATCACAAATTGCGAAGTTTCCCCTTTGTGGTAAATTTTCCCGCATTATGGATAAAAAAATGTTGGGTGCTTTGGAAATTACTGTGGTTATCTTACTGCTTTTAGAATCTTGCCTCTGGCTCAATGTTCTCATTGCACATGTATAATCATTCATTAAAATCAGCTTATTCATTTCAGTCAAGCCTCTCTTAATCTGATATTAGATACCAAGGCATTTTTTAATTAAAATGTTTCCCAGTCCAACAAACAATATACATTTCAGCTGAGCTTCATTCTGTTTTATCTCATAAATTAGTTGCTATTTACACACTTGCCAAGTAAGATGGACAAACAGATAACAAATACAGGTACAACACCAATTTTCCGAAACCCTTGGTTCCTAGGCTTTGCTGTACAGTATGTATGTTAATTTTTGCCAGAATAACAGAGGTTATATTATTCAACAATACATCTCTGACCCACTATTGTCTGCTGGAAACTTAAATTAAACAGTATAAATGAAACATTTATTTATTACTGTACTTACAAAGATTATTGCAGTACTTCTGCTCCCAAAGTGGCAAATTTTAGAGTTGTAATGTAGCTGCTGAGCTAATCACTAGCCATAGTTAGGGTTAATTATTAGCAAAATATGCTAAGAATTGCAAAAAATTGAGGATCGTCAACAACTGTAGTCTAAACAATATAAGTGAGCATGTACTGCATAACGCCATCTGTGGCTGCTAATTAAACTATTTTGGCAAAAAACGTATAATCTTGTAATTTTGTCTAGACTAAAAGAGGTGCCAGAGCATCACTTCTCGGTAAATCGGTGTTACAATTTTATTATATGGTACTACAAATTAAAGAAATGTGTGTGTGCACGTTGTTTTAACCTGATTCATTGAAGTCACAATATTGAAAGTCTAGCAAAAAAAAATACTACTTAATTTTCCAGAGGACAATTTGTGTGTATTGAATTTGTGCATTGTATTCATAGCAAAGTGCTAAGCCCATACAGTATCTACAGAATTGGAAGTAATTAGGCTTAATCTAAGGTAAGGGAGGGTAGTTTAATTTCTTGAATCAAGAGTCATTCATTAACACCAAGGTTCCTTGAATGAAGGCATGTGTGCTTTGAAAAAAAATTGGTATACTAAATAAAGAATAATTTAAACAAATTCCCAAGCTCAAATTCTCTGAAAAAAAAATTATTGTGTGTTACAAGTTTTAGATTAGTGAGGTTTGACTGAAACTGCAATACAAATTCTTATTAAATCTGTACTGTATACAGGCAATATAGTTCCATCTTGAGATATATGGTACTGTACTGTAATGTTTTAGATTATAAAATATTTTAGTAGGTTATCTTGATGTATAGTACAGTATGTACTTGCAGATTTTTCATGTTTGTACAGAAAAGGAAATGTTGCAGATCTTTCACCAGCAAAATGCACAAAATGTAGAAAAGCTATAAATAAATCACTAAGTAATAATTCACAGTGGAAAAGATTTATGAATATACATTTGAGTAAATGGCGAGTTTAATGTGCTTCGAGATCACTTGTGAGTAATACTTTGAGTGTTATGCTCTTAGTGAAAAATTTTGAAACCAATCTGTGATTGTAACCTTTCCTTATACATAACTCACTGTTCAAAAGCATTAAGGAAATTTAATTTGTATATTGTACATACATCAATTATAAACCATGTGTTGTCAATATTTTTTTTTTCAACACGTCGGTCATCTCCCACCAAGGCAGGGTGACCCAAAACGAAAGAAAATCCCCAAAAAGAAAAAATACTATCATCATTCAACACTTTCACCTCACCCATACATAATCACTGTCTCTGCAGGGGCACTCAAATACGACAGATTTAGAAGTCCCTCCAAACCGCCAATATCCCAAACCACTCCTTTAGAGTGCAAACATTATACTTCCCATGTATTTTTTAATCAAAATACATGTATCTCAGTTGATGATGAAAGTTTTTTCTTTCTTTTTGGGTCACCCTGCCTTGGTGGGAAATGGCCGATGTGTTAAAAAATAAAAATCTCAGTTGAATATACGTACATGTACATAATTGCTTACATTGTTCAAATATTTTATTAAATTTAATTTTATTTATATGCAAGTATACATGACTTGGAAATACTACCAGGAGAGAAGTTGGAAGCACACTTTTTTCATACAGTACTAAACTGTGCTCTTCTGTGATCATTCCATAAGCAGTGTCTGCCAACTTTGTGTTTTCTCATTACTTTTTCCATTATCTACTATTGTACATTATTCTTTATAATGTCATAACCTGCCTCATTATTTCTGCCTGTGAAAGCAAAATCATCCTATAGCCCCCCTTTTGCAGCTGCTTGGGAAGAAGATAAATTTCATTTCTGAAGATATTTTTTTAATATAAAGAATGTTAATAGTAAATATGTTTCATTGCACTTCTTTTTAATGTTTCCCTAATCTGTTGAAAGTGCATTTATACTGAAGATGCTTTATGTCTGATGTATAGCATTAACTTATATAGAACCTCACAATGCAATAATTTAAGAGTCAGTTTTGTGAAATAGTAAATATTTAGTATTACTGTATTTAATGGCAGTGGTCTGTCATGTTAAATTTAAAAGAAAAATTTCTCATTGTTACCCAGATTGGGAAAATATTAGTCTTCATGAACATTTGTGATATTGGTTAACTATTTTCATAATTATGAAGATACAGTGGACCCCCGGTTTACGATATTATTTCATTCCAGAAGTATGTTCAGGTGCCATTACTGAACGAATTTGTTCCCATAAGGAATACTATTGTGAATTAGAACAGTCCATTTCAGACCCCCAAACATACACGTACAAACGCACTTACATAAATACACTCACATAATTGGTCGCATTGGGAGCTGATCGTAAAGCGGGGGTCCACTGTATATTTGCTTAGCAACATCCATACTGAATTTAATTCCAGAATGTTGGTAAATTTTACATTAATTTATTTTTTTAATAATCATGTAAATTTATGTGAACTCTTCTACTAATGACATGTTAGGCCTAAGCTACATCATTCATGGGTAATGCAAGGTAATCAGGATTCACCCAGGGAGAAGGTAGCTCCAGTTCCTCAAATCAAGTCCTTCAACAGCAAGAAGGTAACCCCCTTTGAAGGGAGAATCTCTTAAGTATATAAACTTACCAGATGTTGCCTCAGCATCCATGCTGATTTTGTTAACTTTTTGACTAATAAAAAGTATGCCTATTTTCTTAGTTTTTTGTCCTTACAACAATTTTTTTTTTACAGTGCAGCTTAAATGACTGCTAATAATACTTTACTCTTTATGCAGTTAAATATAATTAGGGGATCTATCATGGGTCAAGGTAAAGTTCATATATGATGCCATAGTTGTAGCACTACACTGGTAAAGAGGAGACAATAGATATCATGATATTGTTAAAACCTTGAGCAAATAGAGAGACAGGAGGAGGTTTTGCTTTAAAGTACATGTATTAAAAAGTTTGTTATTCAATGCTTTCCACAAACATTTGTTAGTCACTGTATTTGCTGTTAATGTGAAATCATATCATTATGGAAATAATTATTCATATTCCATAAATTCTTCATGGGGAAGTGGAAAAGAATTCTTGATCTATAAGCCATGTGTGTCATAAGAGGTGACAAAAATGTGGGGAAGCAAGGGGCTAGTATTACCTTCTCCTGTCTAAATTACTAAATTTAAAAAGAAAAACTTGTTTTTCTTTTTAGGTCACCCTGCCTCGGTGGGATACAGCTGGTTCATTCGAAAAAAAAATCCACAAATCTTTTCTATAAGTCATTTGCTATGTCACTGCAAAATTAAACCCACGGATATTTCCTCCATCATTTATGCTGAAAGAGATTCTTTGGTCTCAATCACACACACCCTGTAGGAGCGTGGCACACCTCTGGGTGTTACACAGGTGGCTCCTCTCCACCAGCTGTAACTAAACCAAGTATTGCTGAGACAAGTGCAGCCACAACACCACATATGGACTATAACAGGTGATCACTACCCTACCTTCCTCATAACCAACATATGTAAGCTACCACTCAAAACTAGTATGATACCATTTCATCTCCATGAAAGGTGTCTTGATGCTGCCAAGCTGGCTGACGGGAGGCAACCCACGACAGTGCACTTTATAAAGATGTACCTACTTGTATCACTAGGCGAGCTGGTGGTGTGAGGAAACTTGCTCATATGATTCTCTGTGTATGGGAATCCAACCTGGACCTTAAAATAAGATTTGTTCAGATTTTCATCCTGGAGGGTTAGCCACCCAGGATAACCCAAGAAAATGTCAGTGTGTCATCAAGGACTGTGTCTTACTTCCATTAGGGTCCTTTAATCTTGTCTCCCAGGATGTGACCCACACCAGTCTACTAAAACCCAGGTACCTACTTACTGCTAGGTGAACAGGGACAGCAGGTGTAAGGAAACACATTCAACATTTCCACCCAGTAAGGGATTGAACCACGGACACCGTGTGTGCGAGGCGAGAGCGCTGCCAATGAAATTACAGGCTCGCCACCTACTATACCTATACTATACCATACTGTGATGGGCTCTTGCTTCAAGAAATTGGAGCTAACCTCCTGTTCCTTGGATCAAACCCGATTGTCTCATTTTCCAAGCAATGTGTGACCTCGTATAGTTTTAACACTGTCCCATAATTATCAGGTTATTAAAGCATACTGAAAGAAGGTTTCTTGATGCTGATGAGTGGGTTCTCATATAAAGCACTGGATTCTTTCCTTGGCTCGAACTTGAATGCCTCCTATTTACCAGGCACTATGGGTTTAACGCTTCGGCTGATTAAAAAAAATACCACTTCCCTGTCTTCCACTCCTTAATTAAAACATAAATGCTTGGTGGTGAGGAAACTCAAAATGCCGCAATTATTGGTTATAGCCACCTTTGCAAAATATTGCCAGTCACTGGCAGAATGACCAATAGGTATAGGTACTTATACAGACCTAACCGACATCTGTGACATACTATATAGAAAGCCCCTGGTTATGCAGAGCATTTCGGGCAACTTAAGAGGTTAATTTTGTCTCCAGGATGCAACCCACACCAGTTGACTAACACCCAAGTATTTATTTTACTGCTAGATGAACATGGAGAGCAGGTATTTAAATTCACTGGTATTGATACCACCAATAGCATAACCTAACTTGGGACTGACCATCTTCCTGCTTTAACTGCACAAGGACAACCCTCTTATTCTTCTCATCATAGAATTTTCCTTTGGAAAATCAAGAGAAATATTTTTGTTTAATAAAGCAGTGAGCAATCTTTTTTTTTATATTTTATTGAAAACTTACATGGTACCAAAATATAGACATAAAAACTGTTTTTGTCAAAAGACAAGAAAACAAAACTTACACAATTTATAATCTCACCACAAAATATACCTAATCCATTGAACTAAACCCTTACACTATAGTATCTCTCTCTCAATCCCTTTCAATGTGCAGGATGATAAACCCTTGCAGCCACATAATAGTGGTAACCCCCCCCCTTTTCATGTACTTAGCCTGAAACAATGTACATTTATACACATGACATGACAAAAGTGTATAACCTAAATCAAAAAGAATCATGTTATTTTTTTGACAGTTAGTACATACAAACTAACAGATCTTAGCATTTACTAACTTACATTTTATAAAAGTTATAAAAAACTAAAAACTAACAAACAACTAACAAAATATGAAAAATTGTTCAAATAAATGGACCAACAATAACTTTTACACAATACAAAAAACGCAAAAACATCTTATGCTAAATATAAAAGTTTTGTACAATGTTAGATTCAGTACTAAGTCTATATATACACTTCATGCAACTTAAGATGTTTTAAATGCCTTTAAATCTAAACCCCATTTTAAACAATGTTCCAAGAATATCAACTTACTCTGTCATGCACTAAGTTACACAATAAAACTTATGGCCCCCTAATAAAACATGAACCGGGGCAGTACTACCTTCAAATCATGAACAAAACCAACCTGGCAAAAGACACTTCAGAAAGCCACCCCCTGCCATCCCTGACCCCATGCTATCTGTATTAAAAAAAAAAAACACACAAACTCACGTTCCCTTCCATGCTCACGTTCGTACCTGACGTCAAAAGTCATAAAACCCCTCTCTCAACCAAAGTCACCAGTCACCCCCCCTTACGCCCCCCCCCCCTTTCCTAACGACTTTACACCCCATATGCTCCACTACCACACACTTTTATTCCACCTTCCATCCTCCACTAATCTCAAAAAAGAACAAAAATGCCAGTTTTGGAGAACCACCCCAATCCAGCTCTAAACTACACCCAAACCCTAACATTACAACCTACCGATAGATTACGATAACCCAAGGAAAACTATTTACCCCCCAACCTCCCATATAGTAGCCTATTTCTGCATACTGTACGATACACACTCCCCGGGCAAGCGCCCGCACCCTATATTCACCCCCACCTCCCGCATGCACCAAGAACACATACAAAAAATCTGCCACTATATACATCACTGCCCTCCGAATGTCCTTGGAAACCCCTCCCACATCGAAATGCAAAGCCCTCAAGGGAGGTCGAATGTTTCTTGCCCCCTCCCCCACTATACCAGAACTTCGCAAACCAAGCCCTTACAAAAACCCAAGGTTTCACAAAATATATGGCATGAAAACCCGTCTCCTCTTCCCACAATGCAAACAAGTGCCGCACCTACATAACCCATTCTATATAACACTGACCTTGTAGCTAGAATTCCCATAAAGAATCTATAAACCACTTCCGAACCCTTGGCTTTAATCTGATTTCCGAAAGTCTTCCCAAATGCCCCTCCAATCATACATTGGGTATGTACTACTCCCTGTATCACTGGTATCCTGCCTACCTTCCCCCAAGCCTACTTCCCCTTATTTTTTGCTTCCCTTTAACTGCCAACAAATTTCGCACCATATCATTCACACTCCAGTAGTTCCTTTCCCTTCCCCCATTTTCGAAACATCCTTCATGACCTCTCCCACCCTTCTACCCCTCTCCCCTCCCACCCTAAATGTATCGCTGCTTCACATACACTGCCTTAAACCGTGTGTCCAAAGGTATAAGACCCAGCCCACCCTGCCGCACGCCCATCGTCACCACCTCCTTCCGTAGCCATGGCTTCCCATAACCCCAAAACATCCCTTTCAAAACCACCCTCTCCAGTTCCTGAAAAATCACACGACCTCAGGGATTATTTTCTGCCACGCCCCACACTTTACTGTACACAAGTGTATTTACTACCACCACCCTCTGCTGCAATGTTATATCCCCAGCCCCCCCACCCGCGCATCCTACCCATCGCTCTACTCACTACTTCTTTGGAATTATTCTCTGTGCCTCCCCAGCGTCCCGCCATATACACAACCCCCCACATTCTTAATTCTATCCACTACTTCCACCCATACTGTTCCCCCAAACCCCCCCCACCCACGTGCCTATTTCTAATAACTTTGACTTTGCTCCTTTAACCCTAATCCCTGTCGCCCCACCAAAAATCTCTATTATACCCCCCACATTCCCCAATCCTATTTTTCCCCTCCAACCAAAACTGTGGTGTCATCCACAACCCACAATACCACATCTCCCAGGACCCACCTCTCCCGTTCCCACACACCTTCCTCTATAGCCTATAAAAAGGGTCCTGCATGCATGCAAAGAGGATTTGAGACAAGGGGCACCCTGTCGCAAACCCATCCCCATCTGCACTGGAAACCCTAACTTCCCATTAACCTGAACCCTGACCGTTGCAGGCGTATACAAAGTAGTCGCCCAGCGCACCATCTCATCCCCAAAAACCCTGTTTTTTCAAAATACACCACAACAATGTCTATCTACACTGTCATAAGCCTGCATCCAATCAATCCCCAAGATCCCCCCCCCTTGTCTACCCTCCACAAAATCCTTAATTCTTCCATGCCCCCCCACGCATACTTCGACCTGGAATTCCACACTGTCCTCTATGTGGATCGGTCAAGCACCTTTTTCATACGGTTACCTAAAACCTTCGCAAAAACTTTATAATCTCACACATGAGGGAGATCGCCCTAAAAGCAACCCAAGGTCTTCCCCCCCCCCTCCCTTATAGACCAAAACTACTACCCCCCGTGCCCTGCGATTCCCCCAACACTCCTCTTTCCTTCATACAGTTAAACAACCGGACCGACATCCCTTCATA